ATAGGCCATATGATTCATTGTGAGAAGGATAGCAATGAACTCCAGGAGGATTTGGACAAATTAATGTCTTGGTCTGAAAAATGGCAGATGAAGTTCAGTGTGGATAAGTGTAAGGTACTAGTCCTTGGTAATGAAAATAACCCTCGAAGCTATAAACTAGGTGAAGTAGAGCTTGATCATACAGAATGTGAAAAAGACTAGGGAGTCATGGTAAGCAGAAATCTAAAGCCAGGACAGCAGTGTCTAAGCGTGCACAACAAGGTTAACTTATTACTAGGACTTATTTCAAGAAGTATAGTTAACAGAAATCCAAAAGTTATTTTACAGCTCTATACATCACTAGTGAGGCCTCGTTTAGATTATGCCGCTCAGCTTTGGTCTCCTTACTACAGGATGGATATAGACTCATTGGAGAACATACAGAGAAGAATGTCTAAAATGATTTACTGTATAAGGAATTTCCCGTTTGAAGATAGACTTAGAGCCTTGAATCTTCACTCTCTGGAGAGACGTAGAATGAGGGGAGATGTCATCGAGGTGTTCATTATCAAGAACATAAGAAAGGAAGAACACTGCAGTATGCCTGTTGTCCCATACTAGGCAGATCCTTCACAAATCCATCCCACTAACAGAATATTTGCCCAACCCATTTTCAACGCTAACCAAGCAATAAGCTTTGCTAAATCTATTTACTCATGTGCAAGCCCCACTCAAATCCAACCCTCTCACTCATGTATTTGTCTAGCCTAAATTTGAAACTATCCAAGGTTTAAGCTTCAATAACCCTACTAGGCAAACTGTTCCACTCATCAACTACTCCATTTCCAAACCAATACTTTTCTATATACTTTCTAAATTTAAACTTATCCAACTTGAATTCAATTATTGCAGGTTCTCTCTTGGAGAGATATCCTCAAAACCTTATTTATATCCCCTTTTGATCAAGTCTCAAGTGAATGTAATTTAAGGGACTTCAATCTTTCTTCATACGGAAGATTTCTAATGCTATGTATTAATTTTGTCATTCTTTGTTGAATATTTTCTACGCTTAGGCATTGCTATCTTGGTTTAAGGTTGCTGTTTACCATAACCCCCATGTCCTTTTCGCATTCTGTACGGCTAAGTTTCTATATTCCCGAGCCTCAGAACTGCATTTTTCTACATTGAAGTGCATCTGCCACTTTTCTGACCACGAATTGAGTTTGTCTAAATCCTCTTAAGTTCCGTGACATCTACGTATGAATCGATTATCCCACCTATCTTCGTGTCATCAGCGCATTTGCTCATATCTCTAGTAATTCCCTCGTCAAGGTCATTGATATATAAAGAACAATGGGCCTAAAACTGATCCCTGTGGAACGCCACTAGTTACAGATCCCCACTCAGATTTTGCCCCATTTATGCACACTATCTGCTTCCTGTTGGTTAGCCATGACTCGATCCATGAGAGCTCTTTTTCCCCAATGCCATGAGCTGCCACTTTCTTTAACAGTCTCTGGTGCGGTACTCTATCAAAAGGCTTACTAAAATCCGAATAAACAATAACAAATTCTTTATCGTGAACAGCCTCAGAAGCCTTACTCTGGGTTAGAGCGTCATGTGATTTTTGCTTACCATGAGGTCTGCCAAAACGACATGGGTTCGAATCCTCGGCTAGTCGCAGTGTTGTTATTGATTAATACCAATCGTTCGTGGTTACAGTAATATATATATGCTGCTCGCGAGGCTAGTATGCCAAACGGGGAGTACAATGGAATTAGCTCAAAGGCACCCACATCACCGTAAAGTCCTCGGATGACTGTAAAACACCTAGCTCTGCTGGGGGCGTCATTCTTGTAGAATTGGGTGGTCCCGTGGGTTAGAGCGTCATGTGTGATTTTCGGTCACCATGAGGTGGGCCAAAACGACATGGGTTCGAATCCTCGGCAAGGTGCATTGTTGTTATTGATTATATATATATATATATATATATATATATATATATATATATATATATATATATATATATATATATATATATATATATAATCAGTAGGTAAAACTTGTGATTTTGGATTTGTGCGTGCAATAATTTCTCAAAAATCATTCTGAACCAAACGAAAAAAAAATATTTCTTTGTGTTCGTTTAAATTGCAACGTATTTAAAATACAAACCATGTCATGGGCGGGGTTAGAACCCGCGATCAGAGAGTCTCAAAACTCCAGCCCGTCGCGTTAGCCACTGGGCCAGCTAGGCATGTTAAGATTCGTCTAACTAGGTATATTTATACACCATAGGAAGGTTAGCATAGGCACCACTGTGACCACAAATGCAAGTTTTTACAGAATCTCCAGCTAGCGTGGCCGTGACGAACTCTAGCTCAAGTCCCCTCAAAGCCGTCAACATGACTCACGAAATCGTGAGTATGGTTTGTTTGCAATCGTGTCATTACAATTTCGAGAATCAAGTTCTCTAAAATACATTTAGTTGGATTAGGTTAAATTAAATTGCGCTTGTTATAATAAGGTTAGGTAACTTTTCTAAGGCTCTTGGTACAAAATTATTATTTTTACATTAACATAAATAAAAAAAATATATCGTTAAACAAATTGAATGACCTGAAGAGAATGGAGGAGAGAATAGGCGATCTTGATACCTTGTATCTCCTTACAAGGTATCATGCTATGCCAAGACTCACTTACTCGACGAATATGACGCACACCTGAGATCAACCTTTAAGAAGGCACTGAATCTGCCCCTAGAGGATCGGCAATGGGATCAGGCAACCCTCCCAGTGCGATTGGGAGGTATAGGGGTGCGCAAAGCAACGCAGGTAGCTTTACCTGCATTTCTGTCCTCGTGTTTGGCTTCCAGTGGATTAGTCAAGAAGATTGTCCCCGAACGCTTGAGACGCGGTAGGATCTCAGGATCCCAGGTTCACTGAAGCAGCCATGCGGTGCGACACCCTTGCGGATTCCTCCAGTTGACCAGCTCCTCCCAAAGAGCACAAACAATCCCACTGGGACAAACCGATCATGGAAAAAATCACCAACACAATACTCACCAACGGTTCAGGAAAGGACAAAGCTCGTCTTCTAGCAGTGAAGGCACCACACAGGAGATTTCCTTCTAGCTGTTCCCAATTCCTCCCTGGGCACTCGACTAGACCCACAGGCCATTTGGATTGGTGTTGCTCTTCACCTAGCCGCCCCCATCCTCACCGAACATAGGTGTATTTGCGGCAGGGCGACGGCGGATCAATTCGGACTTAATGGTCTTGTGTGTCACACATCAGAAGGGAAGTATGCCAGACATGAGAAAGTCAACGACATCATAAAGAGAAGCCTCTCCCCAGCCCGTTGCCCAGCCCAACGGGAACCCCAAGTGCAGAGGTCTGACGGAAGTCAAAATCATTAAAGAGCTGGGTGAAAAACTCGTCATAGAAACCAAGGACCACAGGGCGGCCAGCTTCCTCGTTCAGAGAGTGTTGCGATCCAGATGGTAAATGCCTGCAGCATTGTGGGCATGCGGTCCACCGCCGGGGAGCTGGACGAAGTATTCGAGATGTAGCTCTGAGTTGTTATCTGCGTTGTTTGACTCCTTATTGTATTTTTGTCAATATATTTTATCACTGTATTTTGTCTTTAAATAAAGTACATATAAAATATAGGGGGTGGTAGGAGAAAACAGTTTTCAAACAGCTTCAGGGAGAACCTTGAGTTTTCCCTGAAGCAAGTTTATTCTTTTCTCTGATGATGAGGGTCCCCAGGACAGTTCCAGAGGTGGTACCTTCCTAATTTTTTTTTTTTACTTTTCTTTGAACGTATGGGAGAAAATTTTAGAAAGGACTTAATTTTAAATGAGTTCTTGCTAATTGACTAGTTTTTACCTATTCAGCACGTATGTATGGTTACATACATGCATCACATAAACTAATTCTCTGTATCTCTTTGCTTGCCTTTACCTTTGACCAGTGTATATTAAGATTCATTAGGAGTATTCCAAGTACATTGACAATGGATTTGAAGAGATGGGAGTTAGATCTATCATGAGTGACATTGGTGGTTGGGAAATGAACTATAAAAAGGAATTACAGCTAACGTGGCAGCAGGGGCGCTTGTTAACTTTACCTAATATTGATTGTTGCTGTTTGTTGTGGCTATCACAGACCCATGATAAGAGTATATATATGGGGTTGGCACACACGTAATCACGGGTTCAGTTCCCGCTCTGTTTTTTCTGTATTCATGTACAGATATAATTTTGTGGGCAAGATAACATTATTCTATTAAATCATTTATTTTGTATATATATATATATATATATATATATATATATATATATATATATATATATATATATATATATATATATATATATATATATATATATATATATATATATATATATGTCGTGCCGAATAGGCAGAACTTGCCATCTTGGCTTAAATAACAACGCTCATCTTGCCATATAGGGCAAGTGAAAATTTGTGTATGCAATAATTTCGCCAAAATCATTCTGAACCTAACGAAAAAAATATATTTCACTGTGTTTGTTTAGTATTAAATTATTGTAAACAAATCTAAAATATATTTAGTTGGGTTAGGCTAAAATAAAATGTTCTTGTTATAATAAGGTTAGGTAAGTTTTCTAAGTTCCTTTTGGTGCAAAATTATAAATTTTTACATCAACATTAATGAAAAAAATATATCTTCAAACGTATAAAAGAAAATTTCAGAAAGGACTTAATTTTAAATGAGTTCTTGCTAATTGACCAGTTTTACATATTCGGCACGACATATATATATATATATATATATATATATATATATATATATATATATATATATATATATATATATATATATATATATATATATATATACATATATATATATACATATATATATATATATATATATATATATATATATATATATATATATATATATATATATATATATATATATATATATAAATAACGTAGTGTGAGTAAACGCAAACACACCGTTTTGTCTGCTACCGTCAGGGAGAAAAAGTGTACTGCTGACAATATTGGTGGAGTTTTATGCTCCAACTTCCAAAGCTTCCGTAATGCTAGTTGTTACCATCACCCGTACAAGACGAACATTTGGCACTTGTTTTAACTTTAGTGGTATCCCCCTCCATATCCAAATCCATGTCCTGCTCCGTAACCTCCAAACCCTCCATTGTTAGCCCCTTTTGCCTTAGCGAGAGCCTTGGATGCTGCGATCTGAGCCTGAGAGGCGGCGCCTGCAGCGGAGTGCAAGTCGTTGATGACAACATTCTGCTGTGTGCGCAGAGAATTGGCAGCCTGTTGGGCTTGCCACGCCATGGAGTTCTGTGAGTTAAGGACACTTTCCTGAGCAGCCAGACTATTGGTAGCCTGACCTGCCAGAGCGTTGGTCTCTCCAGAGACTTGACCCAAGTTACTGACCAGAGCTTGTGCCATGGAATGGGCCACCTTAGCTGCTTGCTCAGCCTTGTGAGCCTTGCCAGCTAGTGATGCTTCTTGGAAGGCTGCCGCCTGAGCTCCCTGCGCTGCTTGTGTGATCTGTGCAGCTTGTGCGTGTCTGTTGGCTGCGGCAGCCTGAGCTGTCTGTGAGGCAGCGGCAGCAGCAGCTGCAGCACCTGCTGCTGCTCCTGCAGCTGCAGAGTGAGCTGCCCCTCCTAGACTAGCGAAAGCCGCGGTAGCTTGAGAGGCAGCCTGGTTAGCGATGTCAGCGGCCGTGGGACCATGTCCACCATGACCATAACCACCCACCACCAAGTAGCTGCCACCGTTACCATAAGCTCCGCCGCCGCCACCGCCGTAGCCGCCTCCGTAACCTCCAGCGAAGCCACGTTTTTCCTGTCAAAAAGAATGAATTTTGGCTATTTTGCAGCAAGATTTGTGCCAAATAATAGCGATCATTTAATATATTACGGTCTTTTTTTCATATTCTCTAAATATTTATTTGCTTCAATGTATGTAGTATAAGTTTAATAGATTATTAGAGGAAAATGTTACTAATGTGTTTATTCAATAATAAACTCAAACATCTCACCCTTGTGTCTGCGCTCTTGTCGTCAGCAAGTGTCGATCCTGCAATATTATGAGAGCCTTATTAAAGTTAGCAACGGAGTAATATTAAATAATTATTAATCTTAATTATGGAATAATAATTCGTCAGCATGGTTAATTTCAGTAATGGAAAATTATAAGAACATTTTTATCCTTATTAGTGAAATAATAATCTTCGTAATGTAGAATGTAATAGTAAACTTTCTTTTTGCTATATACACTTACAAATTTCATAAAATATACACATAATAATTCACATAGGCAAAACAAATTCTGCAATTTCTTTCTACTTGAGTGAACAAAATAAATCTTGATTATTGTTATTAATTCTAACTTTGACACTTGTTCAAACATGACAGCTTTATTTGCAAGTTTTCACCCATCATTTTGTTACTGTAATCTACAATTAGTTTTTAACGATGTAAAATTATGTAAAAAACATAATTACGGACTTCCATCACTGATGTCAGTTGAACTTTGCCGATGGAGGATCGAGCCTCCACCGTATCTTGCACTGAATGAGTCATATGGGCTTAGCGCTTCACGTAAATAATAATAATAATTGTTATAATCATAATCAGATTATCACCTAATAGCATAGCACTGATTACGATGTGCTTATACATGGTTTAGTATTTGTGTTTGTGGGAGCGGAGACGTTGAGTTGGTGACAGCCAAAAAGATTGTGGTGTGTAGTGGGCCCTGGAACCCACTTTTATAACCCCGACCTCCCCTCTCACCAACTGGCACACCCAAATCTGTTTTTTTTTTCTTTATCTTACCCACCACGATGAAAGCTAGTGAATTAGAGCAGAGGGGTGTGTAAGATGTGGTCTGATTGAAAGTGATGAGAATTTCAAAATGAAATTATAATGATAAGGGTTAAGGATGAAGAAGGAGGATGCGTCGATAAGTAGGAGAAATAGGGAAGAAATTATCTCAAAATACATGTATATGTAATTAAAATAAGAGTACGTGGTAAAAACAAATAACAGGACTTTTTAATTTACGCAAGGTTATATGTGGCTAAAACTAAAGTACTATCTGTGGTACTATTGTAGATTATATTTGGAGAGGTGAGATAATGGTTTCCTTTGTATTGAAAATACTTCTGAAGTTTTCATAGCGATATTTTGTGTTGACGAATTACCTGGTACTTAAATAATTATTTAATATATTATTGGCTCTGATTAGATTACCTCATAGGTTTGTTTCTTTAGAGAAAACAGTTTTAGGTCTTGAGTTTTTCTTCGTGTGCTTTACATTTATTGACTGTAAGAGCTTAGTCCACATTCTCTCCGGTTTCTCTTCAATTTTTTTTGTATTTTAGAGCTCAAAATTATAAAGCATAATAAAGGTGCAGTCTGCTCACGCACTGTAGTGTCAGTATCGTTTCTTGCATTTTATACTTGAAAGTTCTAAGAAAATAAGCATTCTGTTTTTTGCTTTGTTGCAAAAAGTTTGGACGTTGCTTTGTTCATTTTGAGGTCTTGGCTGATGATCACTCCAAGTCCCTCCTCTTTTATCTCGGATAGCATTTCTCAGAACATTTATATACGCTTTCAATCTTATTGCAGACAGCGTGAATTACTGTGCATATTTCTACAGCTGGCCAAAGACACAATAGTTTTTTTCCAATTATATGTCGCAAGGGTTGAGCCGAGGAGTGATCCGGAAGGTACCCAAGTTTCATGGACCACGATTCAGGTTCGACTCATTTTTTTTTGTTTATTTATTGACAGTCGTTCATTGCGACTTTTCTCTGGTTTATAGACTTATGTGACTTGGAGGGGCATCGAAGGTGTTGGGGATGTGGGATGAGACAGCAGTGGCAACTGATACCATGACACAGAAATGATGGATGTAAAATCATCCTGTTAGGGCTCACTTTGTTGGATGGCACAGCGGATGGGTTTATGAATTCAAATTCAAAGTTTATTCTCTATAGGGATTACAATGCTGAGTTTACAGAAATTTGGTTATTGTGTGGTTTACATGTAGTAAAATAGTGATTACAGAGTGTACCACTAGAACGCTTAGCATGGCTAGGCATTTCGGGCAGACTTAGTTTTATTCTTAATTGTAAAATATTACAAATTATGAGGTAAGTTGGTATTATGGCTAAGTGACTAAATACTAGTTTGTGAGTTTAGCAATGTAAATGCTTTTGTTTTGGCACAGTACATAGTTTCAGTATTGGAGTATCACAGGATTCATTATTTTAAGATTGAGATTAATATTTCTGTTTATGGTCAAATGAGTTAGTAAGTGTAAGTGTGAACCACCAGGTGGTATTCGTGTAGTTAGTTGACAGGGTGTATCAGGGAGATAAGATGTTTTCTAATGGTAGTTTTGAAGGTGATGAATGTGTCTGCAGTTCTAGAGTTCTCAGGTAGGGTATTCCAGATTTTAGGGCCTTTGACATACATTGAATTTTTGTAAAGGTTTAGTCGGACACGGGGAATGTCGTAGAGATGTTTGTGTCTGGTGTTATGCCTGTGGGTTCTGTCACAACTATCAAGAAAGCGTTTTAGGTCAAGGTTGATATTAGAGTTTAAGGCCCTGTAGATGTAGATTGCACAGTAGTAAGTGTGGATGTACTGAACAGGGAGTAAATTTAGGTCTATGAAGAGTGGGGGGGTGTGTTGCCAGGGATGGGATTTAGTGATTATTCTTACTGCCGCTTTTTGTTGGGTTATTATTGGCTTTAGGTGTGTTGCTGCAGTTGATCCCCAAGGACAAATAGCATAGGTGAGGTATGGATAAATAAGTGAGTGGTATAGTGTGAGAAGGGCATTTTGCGGCACGTAGTATCGTATCTTGGAGAGGATCCCAACCGTTTTGGATACTTTTTTGGTTATATGCTGGATATGGGTGCTGAAATTCAGGTTGTTGTCAAGGTATAAGCCTAGGATGAGGTTAACCATAGAAATGATGAAGGAAAAAGGTGAGTGGTGCACTGAGGTATCTGTGGAGACAAAAAGCGTTATCCATGGAGGAAAAGAAGGGAATGTACGAAAGTATAGTGGTATCATCACTCTTATATGGGTGTGAAGCTTGGGTTGCAAATGCTGCAGCGAGGAGGCGGCTGGAGGCACTGGAGATGTCCTGTCTAAGGGCAATGTGTGGTGTAAATATTATGCAAAGAATTTGGAGTTTGGAAATTAGGAGGAGATGTGGAGTTACTAACAGTATTAGTCAGAGGGCTGAAGAGGGGTTGTTGAGGTGGTTTGGTCATTTAGAGAGAATGGATCAAAGTAAAATGACTTGGAGAACGTATAAATCTATAAGGGAAGGAAGGCGGGGTAGAGGTCGTTCTCGAAAAAGTTGGAGGGAGGGGGTAAAGGAGGTTTTGTGGGCGAGGGGCTTGGACTTCCAGCCATGTGTGAGCATGTCAGATAGGAGTGAATGGAGATGAATGGTTTTTAGGACCTAACAAGCTGTTGGAGTGTGAGCAGGGATTTAGTGAAGGGATTCAAGGAAACCGGTTATTTTTATATAGCCGGACTTGAGTCCTGGAACTGGGAAGTACAATGCCTGCACTTTAAAGGAGGGGTTTGGGATATTGGCAGTTTGATGGGATGTGTAATAGGACGGTATATATATAATTGGGGCCCTGATATTGTAATTATTTCAGGTCACTTTTTTTATCGTATCTTTATATATGCTTCTAAACTGTTGTATGAGTGAGGTGAAAGTGTTGAATGATGAAAGTGTTTTCGTTTTGGGGATTTTCTTTCTTTTTGGGTCACCCTGCCTAGGTGGGAGACGGCCGATTTGTTGAATATATATATATATATATATATATATATATATATATATATATATATATTATATATATATATATATATATATATATAGTGTGTGTGCCGAATAAGGAAGACCTGCGATTTTAGCTTAAATAAAAGCGCACTTCTTGCCGAATAGGGAAAGTG